CCCCCCCCCCCTCTTTTTGCATGTCGTGCTTACTTCTCACCGCTGTGGGCGAAAGGCGGGGCAGAATCCTGACACGGCCACGGGAGACATGGCCGCCGCAGGGGAGGTGGCGTGCCACGGAGGGGAGGTGGCCTTTGTGACGGCCATCATCAGGGACAGTCTCCGCCTCAGGGAGCGGGTAAGCAGCGGGAACAGCGAAAAGGCAGTGCAGACAGTGCCCGCACTCAAGTAAAAACCTTGACTTATCTTCAACCTCAACATTATTTCAAACACAAGAACTTGAGCGCCATCTGTGAGCTCGGTTAAGAACCCCATTACACTCGAACCTATGAAACGGTCATTGGTAGCCCACAAGAGGAACTATGGACCACAAGCCTCGGCTAAAAGGAGAGGTTCTTGAGTGCGGGCGCTATCTGTACTCTCTTCTTCCTCTGCTCTTGCTTTTTTTGGCAGCCCTGGCATGGTGTCTAGATGCCAAGGTACAGGGAGCGCAAAGGAATAGTTGTGTAGCTTGTAGCACTTTGCCCCGATCCGCTCAATACCAAGGACCTCCTTGTCAGAAGTTATACGGAATGGGAGGCGAGCAAGTACGATAAGCGGGATAGTGGCGAGCGTGCGATCGCCACACTCAAAACGAGAGTAGAAAGAGGAATAGGATGGGTCACTTGCGATTGGCCGGCACCCACGGCACCCACGCTGTCAATGCCCAGGCTCACCATGCGTCTCTATTTGTGTAGCTCGGACCGTTGCCGCGTATGAAAGAAGTCGCTCGGTGAATGGTTCCAAAACCGAGGCAGGTAACAATCCCCCCCCGCCCCTCGTTTCGGGGCATCGGAAGTGGTTTGCATGGGCGGGAAGTGATATCGATGTGACAGCTAGGCTGGGGAAATAATTCTTGAGCAGTCTTTGTCAAAGTAGCAAAGAACGATTGGCCATCAGTGATCGGCCCTGTGGGAACAATGCTCCGCCCTCTCGAGGACGTGTGGTCAATGGTTTCACCGCTAAGGCATGCAAAACATGAGAGTACGCCGCCCCCCCACCCCCCCTCCTTTCGGCGTGTCCTCCCGAAGGTGCGATGGTACACGAGCATGGTCGGGAAGAAGGCCAACGCAAGGAAACTCCTGCGGGTCTTGCGAGAGGTGAGCCGCGCGCTTCGTGGCCGACCGTACATCATCGCGTACCGTAACCGTTAAGTCTGGGGGCATCTTCTTGCGGCTGCAGCAAGCTTCTGCAGGTACCGAGCAAGGAGTGCACTCGCTAGGCTAGTGGATGTGCTGTAAAATGATGTCACGTAAATGTTCGCTTGGTCTTTGCGTTTTCCCGGCAAAGCCGGTCGGGTGCTGCAGAGTTTGGGTGCGTTTGGAATCACGGTGGGCACCAACGGGGTTGTGTCCAGGAAAGCCGAGAACTTTCGCCTAGGCGATTATTACAAGAGTTGTCCATGGCGCACTGCCTTGAGGGAGCACAACTCAGGCAACCCAACCTTTTCGCGACAGCTGCCCCCAACAATATTGTATCTCCAGTAGAATCCCCCCTGAGCCTGTTTCGCGAAGCACGCAGGTATGCCGAAATATCTAGGTGGTTCAGGTTTGAGTTGGTTCAGGTGTCACTACAGGACTTTCGAATCGTCCGAAGAATGCGCATAGTCCGGAGCGTTCGCCGCGGGAGGTTTCTTTGGTATCTTCTGATTGGCTAGCCTTGTTCCGAAACTCCTCCCGGCAGCGGCTTTCTTTGCAGCTTCACCCTATTTTTGAAACCTTGACCATTTATTCTTTTCGCGACTGGAGCTTCCCAAGCACACAAGCTGCTTGCCACGACGCACATGGTGCTGCGGTCACGTTTGTAGTGCTTACTTCCTGCTCTGAGGGAGTCGCCCATTCTCGTTCGTGGCCCTCATTGTCTTTGCCCTTCGCGAACACGCACAACCGTACAGTCGTGCGTCCATTCCGTTTCCCCCCCCCTCTTCCCGGGCGTTGGCAGTCCGGAGTCAAGAACACCCGGACGACGGAGTTCTTCCAGGGCAGGACCGTCCGATGGGGGCTGGCGTGGTCGTTCACCTCGGAAGGCATGGTCGGCGGCAAGGTTCGTACGGACGATGCGCCTTATTCTTACAGTACTCCCTCAGAATGCACACGTGCTAGCTAGGCGTAAAGGGTTCTGATTTTTTCCTCCTCGACAGCCAAACAATAGAACAATAGTTCCGGGTGGGGGGGTCGCCGCCGCGGGAAGAGCAAAAGCTGCACACCTCGGGGAATGCTGCCCATGTGGAGCCGCGCCGTGACAAGGACCCAGTGCAAGATTCCTGCCAAAGTGGCGCCTCCCCGGTTGGTTGTATGCGGGGGGCATGCGGAGAGCTGCGACCTTTCCCCCTGCGGAGAACTCTGTCGGAAGACGATCGACCCGTACAAAGTCGAGTTGAAAGTTGCCATGGCCTTCGTGCCCCTTTGTGTCCGTATGCTGGTAGTTCTCGTTCTTGTGTTGCATGCCTGGATTGCGACTCGCACAACTCGTGTTACCGACGGAGCACGTTTCTTGGTCTTGTGTGTACCCCGCTGCTGCTGCCAAACCAAGATCGCTGCAGTACACTCTGACGACCGCGATTTCGTCTGTGATCGCCGCCACAGGTCCCGGACGACCCCAACGTCAAGGTGCTCTCCAAGAAGAAGGCTGCGGACAGGACGCAGCACAGCCTTCGCAGTTTCTCCGCCCCTCTCCGCCCCTCCTCTCCCGCCGATACACCAACCGGTGGAAACCCCGGCAAGGCTGCCGAAGCGATTGGCGGGCGAAGTGGTGGAGCGGATCATCCGGTCGTTAAGATAACCGTCCCGGCCAACCTCCCTAAGGACGCGGACGACGTCGTGGCAAGGCTGAAGAGCTCGATGATGGCCTTCAAGCAGGTGTGTTGGGCATGTCCGACGCATGGTGGTCTTTTTGACGGGGGCCGTTCGCGCCAGGTCAACAAGGCAGGAACTGGTCACCCTATTGATCCATGTCGTGGACAAACTTCGCTCGCTGGCTGTGGAGGACATAGGAGTTCTTCGAAAAACTCGGCGGATTCAAACGCTGTACACTTTCTCTGCCCTTTCCAGATTTATGTATACTGACTGGGACTGTTCCTAGTTGTGAACAAGCAAGTTACGATCTATTCTGGAGCTGGCCTATGTTGTTATTTCGCTTAATTCTGTAGCTCCAAGTATGTGCTACCCGGGTTGTGTGGAGTGCAACAGCCGTAGGTATCAGGGAATAACCTGGCCACGTTTCGTGAAGGCATGACGATTTGAATCGAGCAATCGATTTCTTGCGTGGCTACTTGGTGACCAGCCGGTGAAGCTACGTAGGTCATTTCGATTGAACGTTTGGGTCAATGTGTTCATCTTTTAATTTTATTTCTGACACCGCAGATCTGAAATAAGACCCCCCCCCCCCCCCCCCCCCCCCCCCCCCCCCCCCCCCCCCCCCCCCCCCCCCCCCCCCCCCCCCCCCCCCCCCCCCCCCCCCCCCCCCCCCCCCC